CTCAGTACTCATCTTTCAACTTGTTAATTCAGAGACTCATCCTACACACACACACACACACACACACACACACACACACACCCCTGAAGATTATTTCAAGATAATTCAATGTGATGATGACCTTTAAGGCGAAGTCTGAGTAAAGTAAATAATGAACACTTTGAAAAAACATTTTCTGTTGTCAGCTTATGTTGGGGAGTTAGGGGGAGTGGTAGGCAGAAGATAAGTCTGGGGAGGGTGGAGGTGCAGAGGAACTTCTACTGTAAAAGCTACAATCCCCTCCTCCCTTTGTTTACAAAGAAAAAATAGCTAATTGACGTAGGATGTGGGTGAGTTTGGTTTTCATCTCAATCCTGTTTTGCCTCATCTTGCTGTTGCCTTAGGATCATATCAGGGCCAACCATTTCCAGAGCTTTAGGGGGTGAAAAGAAATAAAACAACTCAGAGACTTTGGATCTTCCATTCAAAATCAGGCCAGATAAAAGAGCAATTTCAATACCCTGGAGCTACTATTACATAAAAATTATGAAAGTGTCAAATTCAATACCTTGAGAGACTACGCTAAATGCTAGATATTTAATTCCTATTGATAAAATAACTTTCTTAGAAATCTTCTTAAAACCAAAATCTCAAATATGTGGTATCAGACCTTTAACACTGGCAAAGATCTTGATTAGAGAATTTTAGATTCTCTTGGTGATTTGCATTCAAAGACTTTTGTCCAAATGTGTGCACTGACATGAGTTACTAAAATTAAATTTATTTCTAGACCCAGGTATTAGTACTATGATTAAATCTAACAATAATTTAACAAGTGCTTCTATGGTGTCACAGGAAATATTTTTATGTTAAAATACTGTTGGAGATTCAAACTGAAGGGAACATGCATAACCAAGCTCAGGATAATCTGAATAATATAATATGGATAGATATCCAAACTTTAAAATATGTTCTATTGAAGTTAATGATCACCTATAAAGTTTTGACTCCTGAGATTTATATTTGGAAAAAGTCCTCATAGGTTACAGTAAGATAGGCATGCTTTATTTTTGATCATACAATCTATTATAAATCAACTGTTATATTTTAAAGTTTTTCTTTGGTTGTTACATAATATTTGAACATTTTATGAGGTATAATGTGATGTTTTGATTCAGGTATATATTGGATATTGATCAACTCAAGGTAATTAGCATATCCATCAGCTTAGACTTCTATCATTTGTCTATGGTGAGCACAAATTTCTTTCTTCTACATATTTTGAGATATAAAATGCAGTGCTGTAATTATATTCACCCTACTGTGCCATGGAACACTCAGACAGATTCTTCCTATCAACTTCACTGAAATCATGGATCAAATTCTTCCCTTCCCTCCCATTCTCCCCATCTTTGGTAACCACTGATCTATGGTTGACTTCTATGAGAGCAAGATTTTTTTAGATTCCACTTAAGAGTGACATAATGTTGTGTTTGTCTTTCTGTGTTTATTTCACTTAACACAGTGTCCTCCAGATTCCATCTATATTGTTGTAAATGACAGGATTTTATGCTTTTTGTGGTTGAGTAGTATTCCATTGTGCATATAGAAGACATTTTCTCATGATTTTTCTGTGGATGGACATGGTAATGCAGGTGTTTTTGACATACTGATTTCATTTCCTTTGGACATATACTTTATAGTGGGATTGCTGTATTGTATGGTAACATCTGTTCTCTCAAACTTCTTTTTCCAGTTTTATTGAAAATTATAAACAACTAAGAGAATATATAGAATTAAACATAAGAGAAATATATTCTTTTTATTTTTGTACACTGATGTCCTAAGGGCACTTCCTCTTTATGTAGTTACATATGATGTAAATATTTCCCCTTGGTGTTTAGCTTCATTGTTATTTTATAAGAGTATCTCAGAGAGATAGGTAATTCCATTTCTGTTGAAATCCAAGAGAGAGCTTCATTCTTATGGCTCCTATAATTATCTAGGGCCTTTTGGACTTTGGTATTCCTATTGTGAATAGTGTGTGTGTGTGTGTGTGTGTGTGTGTGTGTGTGTGTACTTGAGGAATTTTTAGTGTTCTGAGAATAAGTGAAAACACTTTCAGAATTCTGCTCCATGACTATATCACAGTACAGAACTTAGGTTCATCTTGTCTGACCTTCCCTCCTAGCCTATTTCTGGTCACTGTAGAGAAGTTGATCATGGACATGAGAAGGCTTCTAAGCATTTTATTCATTTCTCGTCTCAAGCATTTCAGTATACTAAGAGGAAATACAAATGAGATACACAAGAGGGTGAGTCCACGGTTTTGGTTTTGCAGAGCTATTCCCAACATTGGCACCTATTTTGTCTGGAGTGAGAACAGTCTCTCTAGAAACCCCTATACCTCTCAGGAAATGCCACTTCCTAGTGAATGTAAATCCTGAAATATAATGAAATAAAAAAAAATCAGTCACTTCATTTCTTCTGAAGACATCACATCTGCACCAGGAAAACAGGGAATAGGGATTTCAGATAAAAGGCTGCCATTGAATAAAATGTCATTTCAGACTGAGTCATTTTGATTTCATGATTTTATCTGACACAAATAGCATGCTACAAGTTATACAATCTCTATAGTTGTTAATACTGTTAATGAGAATATAAAAAAACCAAACAAATTGAGGTTTAGTTCAGAATTTAGCAAGTTAGTATTTTTGAGATCTGGTTTCCTTTCAAGACTTTATTCTTGTGGAAATAAAAATAACATATCTGCTTCATTATCCCTATCTGCTGGTACCAAAACAGTCTTCTTGAAGAACTATCCCTCAAAGATAACAGATAACCATCTTCTCTCTGGTTCTAGTGATGCTCAGGTGCCTAGAGCCAAGTTTAAGGCAATTAGGAATCCATAAGAAACATCCCCAGTGTTTGTGATTGTCAGTCCATCCCTATTCAGTCTTTTTTTTTTTTTTTTTTCGTACTGGGGATCGAACTTGGGTCCTTGTCCTTGCTAGGCGGGTGGTGGAACCACTGAGCTAAATCCCCAACCCTAGTCTTAATAGATAATAAATGTGGGTGTCATAGGAAGACAATAAAAATGAACCTAGGCTATTCTTGCTCTATAAGAATAGAATAGCCAATATCATTGTGGCCCATTGTTTTGGTTAATACTCATTTTGAGTCATGGCTACTCTGTAGACTTTGCATTGCACATTCAGAGCACAAATGTCATGTAGAAGGGGAAATAAAACAGAGGGAGGCAAATCACGTGGCTCAGTGATCTTGCAAGGAAGAAGGATGTTTGGGGAAATTCATTTGTAGACATGTGGTGTGCAAACCAACAGCCACCCTGGTTTGGTGATTACTGTGTGGTGTGCAGGTGATGATTACATCTGATACTGCTTTTCAATCAACATTATGTCACGGCTACTTCTTGCCTAAAATTCTATTTGAGTTACCCTACTGTAAAGGCTCCAGCTGGGAAGGACTTCTTTTGTTTGATCTTTCTCCAGAAAGAAATCAATCACAGACAGTTAAAGCTATCTTGGAACTTACAGGTAAGATATTCCTAGGTTTTACATTAGAAATAAGCTGGACAAGGCTTAGAGGGAAGACCAGTGTTCTAAAAGGTGGCGTCATTTGTTAGATATGCCTTTTTATTGCTAGATTTGCACTTGTCAAGAGAACCTCTTTGACTTTCAAAAAACTGTGGGCTTCTCTAGGAAAGAATGATACTTCTCATCATGGTATTGGGGAACAAAGAGAAAAATATGATGAAAATGCATAGGGTTAGCAAAATATGGCTCAGCCCTTGGAAAAAGCCTATGTTATGTCAATCTGTTAACAAGTCAAATTTTTTAATCCTTTAATTTTTTAAAATTGATTGATCCTGCTGTGGCTCTTTTACAAAGAAGAAAAAGAGAAGATTAGAGTATGTTTTATCTATTCAGAATTCCAAGAAGGTACGATAATTCATATGTGAAAACATAAAAAAATTTATTGTGCATATCAATCCCCAGATAAAATCAAAGTATTGTGTCATTGATATTGATCTAAGAAAGAAATGCACAAGAGTTATACTGTCAAGAAATTTCTAAAATATTTTCTAGAGTTTTAAAAAAATGTTTCCTCATTTCTAATTTGCAACTTCACCAGAGAAATGCATTCTGGAAAATCATGATTTTCTAGCAAATGCAGGACAACATTTATTTTTTTGTATTAAATAGCACTTTTCCAAAATTCATTCCTTAGTCAAGCTATTTGTTGGCAAAGAACACCTTTTAGTATCTTTTCTGCATGAAACAGTCCACTTTTTCCTTGTCTGCCACTATTCCTTTACTTATGCTCCTGTGTCCTTTATTTTTGAGGAAGTGTATTACTAACTTTACCCCTTACTTGGGATAGAAGATAGATATTGAATGATCCCATCAATGTTTAGCTAAGGGTTTACAAGTAGGCAAAAGACAAAGGGGAAGACTTGGCCATTTGGCTTTCCAAGATACACACAGTTAGTGTGTTCAACGGTACATCACTGAATAGTTACTAAACTTCAGATGCTATAGAGGATCACAGTTTGCTCCAATTTGGAATCCACCCTATAGTTCAAATTGAGCTTGACAGCCCTCAAAGAGAGTTGATTGAATGTAACTAGCTTTTGATGCCATGTCCTCAATGAATTGATTTCTAGTCCTTTTTTAAAAGTCAAGTACCCTGTTTTTGGTATACATAAAAATTAACATTTTGGCCCAATCATAGGCTTTATGAAAAAGCATCAAAGAAGTTCTAATATTTTTACAACATTTTCAAAAGAGTAAAACAACTAGATTTTAGAATAGTCGAGCAGCAACTTGGGTTTAACTTTCAAACCTCTCATTCTGGGACTTCTATTGTTCACAGGCCTGAGTGAGATCTTTCACCTTTTCCCTGTAGTGAAATGAGCAACAATAGAGTTGCTTTATGACACAGAACATGATGAATCCTTTCCAAATGAGGATGTGGAAAGTGCCAAAAAGCCAGAGGGGCAATGCAGAGAAAAATGGATCTGACTTCCTTCAGCACACAATGAACACAAGTTTTTGAATCTAGGCTCAGGTAAATCTCCAGAAGGAAGAGTCTAACTCTCTGCAAAGGAAGGTGTGTGTGTGAGCAAGGAGAAGCTGATTTTTTCCTGTCTCTGTGTAGCTATATCCTTCCTGAACAGCCTCAGATAAATAACAGCCATGTGTTCTCCAGGACAACAGAGAGAGGAAGATGATGGAGAATATGTCCTCTGTATGGTTCTGGGATAGAAAAGAAAATTAATCCCATGTGTGCAAAACACCAGTGGGATAAGATCTTGTTGATACCTGTTGTGAAGGGAATACTATCATTTATTAAGCACTCATTTTACACCAAGCATTAAATGATTTCTGTTACATGAGAAACCCAAAATATAAGTCAAGAGCAAAATAAAAGGTAGATAATAGGAAGAAAGGAGATCTTTTTCCAATGGGAAAGGGAACAAAAGATGGAGGGAGGGGGAAGGGAAGGGAAGGAAAGGCAATAGGAAAAAAAAAGAATTGAAGAAAAAATGGAAATAGAGCTTTTGCAAACAGAAAGAGAACCAAGAGTTGGAGGGAACAGGGAGAGATGGGAGGTGAAGGGGGTGAAAAAGAAATTAACATGTGTTAGATACATGTACCAGCTTTCCATAATAAATGTAATCATTATGTACTGCAAACATGTAATAAAATAAATAAATAAAATATGTTTTAGTTTGAATTCTATCAACAGTGATCCAGTTAAGGCTTCTCTTCACTGTCATGAGAAAATCAAGTCTAAGAGTTGAAAGGCATAAACAGATAATCACAGTTTAGAACTTTTCCATTGTACTAGGCCTTGCAGCCCATTGTTAACATATTTTTAACTTCTAGTTGAAAATCCAGACTGATGTCTGGTTTCTTGGGACTCCAAAATAAACCTTCTCTCTGAGATCCTTAAACACCCTTGAAAGGAGAGGAATTGTCTAAATTCTGATATCAAAGAGTCAGAGGAAGGTTTGCAAGTTCCCAGGTATATAAAATAACTGACTCACAGAGCCAAGTATGTGCTCCCAGCTCCAAACACCACTGGGTGTTTGCTTCCACGGAGATGATACAAACACTAAGCAGGCACCAAGGCTGCCGAGTCATTTGCATCTGGTTATGTCATGGAAACCTAGCCTAAAGCGTGTACCAACCTAAGCAATCGGGGAAAGTGCCTAATTTTAAATCTAAAACTATTTTCTTAATCACAGAGCATGAGAGCATTAAGAACTTTTCTCTCTAGGTGTTCTGTGCCAATTTTAAAACTGAAAAACATCACCATTCACTAAGAAAAAGAGCAAGCATATCAATGAAAAATTTCATGTATTTAATTGTGATTAATGAGTGTGCTTTTCAGAATGAAAAAAGGACAGAATTCCAAGTCAATTTCTTTTTATGATGATTTTTTGGCTTTTTGAAAAACTTGAATTTAAAACCAGCTTAACTATGTTCAGGCACGTCTGAATATGTCTAATATCTTTATATAATCTCATTGAGAAATACCCAGCTCTTCATTTTAATTAATAATATTATGTAAAGCAAAGATGACATACATGTTGATGAACCACGACTACTTTTTATCCTCTGTCTAAATAGTTCATTGAGTCACAGTCTCATGAGTTTGTGACATCATGATCCATCACCATAGTAACAGCTATGACGACATGCTACCCTGTGGCATTCCTTATTAGTCAATCTCTGCATGCTCCATCAAATCAAAGTCACATACATCATCAAAAGTTAGAAATGATCTCTAGTAAACACCATAATGACCAAAAATGATTGTCTTTAAAGTAATCCGATATTAATTGTATTAAAAACCAGAGATAATTATTGATAGTTATATCTTTACAGAAGTTGCCTCATTCATTTTTTTCAGAGGTTAGCTCTAATTTGGCTCCAATGTAGATATAATTTTTACATAAATATAACTTGGTACAGAAAATTCACCTTTAAATTTAATATTATAAACAGTCTACTACACTGCTACTTAGTTATCATAAGTTCTTGTGAAGTGCTGATATGCTTTTTTTTTTTTTTTTTTTTCTTGGTACTGGTGATTGAACTCAGGATCCTGTGCTTGCAAGGCAGGCACCAGAACCACTGAGCTAAATTCCCAGCCCAATAGGCTTTTGAAAGCAACCTTTTATGTCTGAAATAGTATCTGGTTTGTAAAATAGGGCTTGGGAAGTTAAAGTTAAGACTGTGAAAATGTGTTTCTGTGTCTTATGGAAAGACATACAAGTTATTTTATTTCTTCAGGTTTCATAGTTAAATGAGAAGTTAAGAACTTATCTCTCTTTTTCATCAAAAGGTAGTGAAGATTTAAAAAGTAATACTGTCATGAACTTCCTGGAAGGAAATTGCCAAGTAAAAATTTAGATGTAATCCAATAAAATGTAAGTCCCTGAAGCAAAGAAACCACAAATTATGAATTTTGTACCCTCATTCCTTGGCATGGAGTTATTTGAAGCCAAGATACAGTTTAAGATTTGAACAAGAAAGGACAAATAAGCAATTAGCAACTTAGGATTCTATTTATGTCATTATTGTGCAGACTAAATTTCCATAAAGTAAAAATGGTCCTATGAGTCTTTGAATATGTAAAAATTTTATATTATCTAGGGCAAGTTTCCTATCAGGAGAAACTTTAGGTATGTGGTTGCCAACTAAATATAAAACAATATTTTAATCAAAACAGAAAATTTTTGCTCTGTAAATAACCCAGTAAAGAGAAAACACAAATTACAGACTGGGAGAACTTATTTGTGAGTCATATATCCAACAAAGGACTGATATCAAGGATCTAAAAAGAACTCTCACAGTTCATCAATCAAAAACAACCCAATTAGAAAATAGGCAAAGATCACAGAGAAACATTTCAGTACAGAGGATATACATATGGCGAATAAGCGCTTAAAAGATGTACAACATCATAAGCCACTAAAGGATCACCAGTACTTGTTTATGGGAATATAAAATGGCATAATCATTTTGGAAAATATTTTGGCAGTTTCTTTAAAAACACTAAACATGCAACTTCCATAGAGATCTCTTAATTACACTTTGGCATTTGTCATACAGAAATGAAAATTAATATTCATAAAAACCTGAACATGAATGTTTATAACAACTCTTTATAATTGGCAAAAGTATCTTTCAGTGAGTAAATGATTAAATATCCACACAGTGAAATATGATGCAGCAATAAGAAGGAATGAACCACTGATATATAACAACCTAAGTAAATCTCCAGGGAATTATGCTAACATAAAGAATCACCAAGAATTTTTTAAAGTTCTTTATAGATTCGAGATAGTAGACCTTTGTCTGAGGGACCGCTGGTGAAATTTTTTTCCCACATTGTGGGTTGTCTCTTCACACTGCTGGTGGTTTCTCTTGCTGTGCAGAAGCTTTTTAGTAAGAAGAGATACCACT